TTCGAACATGAAGTGCGTGCCCCATAGGGAGGGGGCTCCCGCCTGAGACTTCCTCGCCATTCACTCACAAACGAGGCTCCCGCCTGAGACTTCCTCTAATTTTCAAGCCTCAGGAGCCCAAGATTGACGACAGTTATAGGTTTCCGATGACCCGCTCGGATTCGTGACATGATCTGCGGGCCCCATAGGAAGGGGGCTCCCGCCTGAGACTTCCTCACAATTCACTCACAAACGAGGCTCTCGCTTGAGACTTCCTCCATATTCAGGCCTCAAGAGCCCAAGAGTGACGACAGTTACACGTTTCGGATGACCCGTTCGGATTCGAACATGAAGTGCGGGCCCCATAGGGAAGGGGCTCCCGCCTGAGACTTCCTCACAATTCACTCACAGAAGAGGCTCCTGCCTGATACTTCCTTCCTCCATGTTCAGGTCTCACGAGCCCAAAAGTGACGACAGTTGCACGTTGCTGATGACCCGCTCGGATTCGAACATGAAGTGCGGACCCCATAGGGAGGGGGCTCCCGCCTGAGACTTCGTCAAAATTCACTCACAGACGAGGCTCCCGCCTGATACTTCCTCCATATTCAGGCCTCAAGTCAGCGAGTAGTGATGATGATGATGATGATGATGATGATGATGATGATGATGATGATGATGATGATGATGATCGTTCGATGCCGATGATGGTGAGTGATCGTGGGATGGTGATGCTGATGGTGATGATGATGATGATGAGTGGGGAGTGATGGTGATGGTGATGGTGATGGTGATGCGGAGGAGGAAGCAAAGAGGAACAGAGGAGAGGGAGGAGGAGGAGGAGAGATGCTGCGCGGAGGGTGTGCAGAGAAAACAAGAACCCCACTTAGGATGTGGGGAAAGAACGCATGTTGAGTCGCAGTACATCATGTCATGACGGGGTCTTGAGAAAATGGGTGAGGCACTTTGTGTTCACCATTCAGTGTTCCAGGCTAGGTTGGCCATTCACTTCTGTTTGTTGAACTGCGCAAGCGCGCAGTAAGACAACAAAGACATTATGTCACAATGCGCCATAATAATCATATTGTGCCGCCGTGTACAATAACATACCGCGCGCCCGCGTTCTTGCCGCCACTGGGACTCGGTATCCCAGATGTGTCCAAAGTTAGCTTTCGCGCAAGCAGCTAACCCAGCGAGCACTCCTACATAGCGCTCAACACAAGAGGCCCAATCTTCAGGACTCTTCGTTTATGGAGAAAATGCCCCCCCCCCCGCCACCTCAAACACCCCCGCTCCCCCAGCCCCGACGCATTTCGAAATCCGGGTGATAAATCTCGCAGTCGTTGTTGGTGGGGGGAGCGCGACATTTCTAGGATTGGGGGGTCGTTCAGGGCTCCCGAGAAAATATCAGTGGTGACGCAAGGGGAACCGCGATGGTTCGTCCAGGCGGAGAGACAGGCTTCCCAGGAAGGTTGGAAAAAGCTAAACTCATTAAGAATCCGCTGGGATCTTGAGCACACCTCTGAGATACGCGCGAAATCCCTGGAGTCCTAAGGAACCCATCGGAATCTTCAGGAAACTTGAGTGCATCAGGCAGGGATCTTGAGCAATCCTTCAGTCGGAACGGGTCCTTCAAAGAATCATCATGAATCCTTCAGGAATATTTCAGGAATTCTTCAGGAGTCCTTCAGGCATCCCCAGGAACTTTTGGGAACCTTCAGGACAATTCAGAAACCTACAGGATTCCGAATTTTCCAGAAAGGAGGATGCGGGGGGGGGGGAGACATCTGACCCCCAACACCCCTGCCAAGTAACAGTGCAGGACGATCGCGGGACGCTCGCGTATGGACAAGATGCTGCCGCAACTTGCTTTTCTGTGTTGTTTCTGACACGGGTGGTTGGATTGCGCGCAGCAAACATATGTTGGCACCACCCCCCGTCGCCCCTGTCGAAGTGATCGCTTGGTTCCACGTGCAGGAGACAGCTCCCACAACGTGCACGTCGCATCATGTTTTGCAAGCATGGCGCGGGGGTGGTCATTGCTACAGGTTTGCCCCCGATTAGGTGGGGGGAGCAAGTGTGCACTAATAAAGGACAGTGGTGAGCCCCTTACCGAAGTTACAGAGGTGGGTTGGGAGCGCCATAACCCACCTCCGCCCAGAGGGCTGGTGGGATTCGTGGTTCCAGCGGGCCCGGGGAGTGCCAGCATCTCTGGAAAGAGGCTCCGAGCCAGGTGTCTTGCCAGTCCGCGCGCGTGGGGCCCCCGGGGGCCCAGGAGGGAATACAGTCAAGACGTTGAATCAAGGAGCAGTTTGGGTTCGGAAGGGGCTGTTCCTCTAGCCCTCCTTGTGGACGAAGGCAGTCTTAGTGCCTAAGAGGCGCTTCGTTCTTTATTCGGAGTTCCTTATTTCAGCGGCCCGACTGTACACTGGCCATTTTTAAAATTTGTTTTCTCCCTGGTAGGATGCTAGCATTCCTGGGCGCCGCTTCCCAAGCTGCTAGGCAGCCGCCGACATCGTACCAACGAGTCCTTCAGGACGCGTCCCGGACACGGCCATTGGGGGTCTTTGCACACCGCCAGGTGGCCTCCGACATTATTTTTTGTCTTAAAATTTTAGGAAGCTCGTGGCCGTCCCGAAGCATTTAGGACCCACATGTTTCCAAGACTGCCACGGGACGGCTCGAGGGTGCCACGGAGTCTCACAAGGATTCTTCTGAGAGGCTCCGAGATCATTAGGAGCCAAGCGGGCTTGTCCGATGATTTTATCGTTTCTCGGCTGTTCCCTTCGGATGAGATTCTGAAGCCCGGAGATTGCCGCAAGATCTGTCAATCTAGCTCCACAGGGGGGCCCAGGATGGCTTCCAGAAAGCTCCTAATACCCCCGAGAAGGGTCCTAGAGGGGCCCACGTGGACCCAGGGATGGCCAATGATGGGGACGTTAATGAGTGACGGGCCCACGCGGGGCCCCAAGAGGCCCCAGGTAGCCCCAAGGTGGCCCAAGATGGTTCACGACAGTCCCCAGGAAGCCGAAATCTATGCGCAAACATATGTTTTAAATTGATGTAGGTTTTCTTTCAGTGTTGCTTCAGATTGGCGTCTGAGGCACCAATGTTGCTCCAAGATCTGCTAACGTAGCTGCGATTGCAGCCCAGAAAGACTGCAAGAGGGCTCAGAAGAACCCAAAGAGCGCCCCACGAGCCTCCCAAGAGGGCTCCAAGCTCCAAGCGGGACCAAGACTGGCCTGAGAGCGGGAATTCATGGGTGGCAGGCTCCAACATGGCATAACTCCGAGAGGCCCCACGATAGCCCCAAGATGGCCGAAGATGGTTCAAGACAACTCCTAGAACATTATGGGCCGGTGGAATCCGCGAAGCGGTCCGCCGCCCCCTTGGGAACGGCGTTCAAGCTTCCCGATGCTATGTTCTGCCCGACATGTGTTTCTTCAGCCCTCTCGTTTACGTAATCCTCATGCTCCCCCTCCCTCGAAGCGTATGCAGCCCCTCCTGAAGTCCTCCAAGCGCGCTGCGAATTCCGCCTACCTTTGCGCACCGGGCGCCAACAGGCTGGCACTTTGCTCTCAAGCCAGGCCCGCTTTTGCGCGCATGGGCTCCAGACCTTTACGGCCGCCCTCAGGGACCCCTTTGGAGGCACTCCTGGGCTGTCCTGGGAGCCCCTTGGGGCCTGGCCGTGCTCATGGGCTCCTTCTTGAGGCCCTCCTCGTCCTTGGGCCCCTCAGAGGCCATGTTGGAGTCGTCTTACTCCAGAGAAGCCCAAACCTTCAAACACCCAATGGGTTCTCTCGGCCGTGTCGGGCCTTTTCTCGTCCATTTAGGGCCGCTTTGGCCATCGCGGAATCTCTTTTTGAGGCATCCTTGGCCGTCCCGAGGCCTGTTGGGCACCATCTTGGCCCACTTTGGCGCTCTCATGGTGCCCTCCTGAGCAGCTGGACGCTTCCAGAGGCTCCCAGGGGGCTTCTCTGAGGATCCCAACCAACTTAAGAACACTGTTTTTTCTCCATCCGCTTCCATTATTTCCCCGCGTCGGCAAATCTCGACACCGTTGCGCGTCCTTTTAAACTGTTTGGGAAGCCTCTGGGAGCCCTCTTGGGTGGGCAGTGTCTGGCGGTTGTTTGCGTCTTCTGGGATTGTCCTGGACCCAGGCTCTCTTGGGACCGTCCTGGGCCCACTGGGGGCCCTCTTAGGGCACTCAGTGGACCCTTTTGGGCCCTCGAAGACCGCAGGTGGACCGATCTTCGATCGAAGAGCGTGGACAGCGAACACACTGAAAAGCTACATGCTGAAAAACGTGTTGATCCTCTCGACAGGGTGCCGTGGGGCCCGTTGGAGGTCGCTTGGGACCTATCGGGTGTTGCTTAGGGGCTCTTTGGTGGGTCTTGAAGCAAGGTCGGACTATCTTGCTGTCCTTCCCGGGCAGTCCTGGAAGCCTTGGAGAGCTTAGGAGGTGGCGGGCCGCCCAGGGAGCCTCGGCAGGGAGGCCGCATCGAGGTGTGGGGTGGCGAGGGGGGGGCTTTCGGAGCATGTTCATACACCCGTGAGACATAATTTGGCACTTCTACAACGCCTGAACGTACCAGGGGGCACCGTGGCGGATGTGTGTATGATGGTGTGTCCGTCCGAGGAGGAGGAGGAGGAGGAGGAGGAGGAGGAGGAGGAGGAGGAGGAGGGAGGAGGAGGGAGGAGGAGGAGAGGAGAGGAGAGGGATGAGAGCTGGAGAAGGAGGAGAAGGAGGAGGAGGAAGAGGAGGAGGTGGAGGAGGAGGAGGAGGAGGATGAGGAGGAGGAGGAGGTGGAGGAGGAGGGGCAGGAGGAGGTGGAGGAGGAGTAGGAGGAGTAGGAGGAGTAGGAGTAGGAGGAGGAGGAGGAGGAGGAGGAGGAGGAGGAGGAGGAGGAGGAGGAAGAGGAGCAGGATAAGGAGGGGGATGAGGTGAAGGATGAGGAGGTATTGGAGGATGGGCAGGGAGGAGGGGGGAGGGAGGGGAGGACCTTTTCGGGCCTCGCCTGCAGGTTTCGGTCATCGGCGCGGCGGCAGTGGCGGCCGGCCGCCGACCAGAGATTGCGTCGGCCCTGCAGGCCCTCAGCTCAGCCCTCACGGCCGACCCCAAGGACCGAGCCTCGGACAAGCGCAAGGCTCGGGGGGCGCCAACAATCCACCGACGCCGATCCTGGCCAGGCCGATCCCAGGTCCACCATCGGGGGGTACGCCTTCAAGGCCACAAGGCCGTATATCTTCCGATGTAGGACTCACGATTAGGCCCAGCCAGGACCAGTGTGGGTGGCTAGTTGACACACCCAGTAAGGAGTTTGAGCTGCTCCGGCACCTCTCCAACAACGCGTACCCCTGGGACGCCGAGAAGGTGCTAAGAGAGACCGAGACGTTCGCGAGCCGGCGTACATTCCTGAAGATCGCGGGCGGCGTCAAGCGGCGATTGCTGGAGCAGGCCGCATCACGCTCACCCGCGGGCGTCGTGGTCGAGCTCGGGACCTACGTCGGCTACTCGGCGACGCTGCTCGCGCTCGCGCGGGGCGCGCGACCCCATGCGCACCCCATTGCGGAGCTGTCGGCGGAGGGCGCACAGCCTCCATTCGCTCCGATGCGAACGCCAAGAGTCGTGACCGTGGAGCTGGACCCCGTGAATGCGGTGGTGGCCAAGACATTCCTGCTGATGGCCGGCCTGTCGGCGGACGTGGAGGTGTGGCCTGGCGGGAGCGCGGGCGTCGCGGACGAGCTCCTGGCGCGCTTCGGCCCAGGCTCGGTCGCGATGCTCTTCATGGACCACCGCGGCAGCCTGTTCCACGAGGATCTGCGCAGCTTCGAAGACGCTGGGCTGTTGGCCGACGGCGCCGCGGTGGTCGCGGACAACGTGCTGAAGCCGGGTGCGCCGCAGTTTCTCTGGCTCGCTTCCCGGAGCAGATCCCTTGAGGCTCGCTTCCTGCAGGTGCCAGAGTTCGGGCTGGGCCACCAGGCGCTGGAGGACTGGATGGCGGTGTGCCGCTTCCGCGCCAGGGCCGGCGGGGCGTTGGGCCCCGAGGCGACCGAAGCGTGCCCAGCCGCCGTCGTCCGCCTGGCCCGACGCTGCGACGAGATGCGGCGTCTCACTCTGGTGCGGCGAGGCGGGGTTGGCATGGCGGAGTGGGCTGCGCACTCGGCCGAGACGAAGGCGGCGCTGCAGGCTCTTGGCATCGGCGCCGACGTCCCCGACCTCCCACTGATGCCAGGGTGAGCGCGCGGTGCGGCGCGGTGGCGGCCTGGCGCCGAGGAAGCGCTGCCGGAGGGCCGCCTGGTCTCCGCATCCTGGGGCGGGCCGCACAGTGCAGTGCCCGCTCCAGGACGGCCAGGACGTGGCCCAATAACAAGCAGGCAGACCCTCGGTCCAGGGCCGGGGGGCCCAGGGCTAGGAGCGCGAATCTAAGATCATGCGTGCATCGTGTTCATCTGAGCTTGACTTTCTGTCGGCCTGGGGAGGTTCTGCTTGTTTGTCCATGGGCCCTCCCTGGCTCCCGGGCGGCTAAACGATGCTGGGCCAGGACACGTACCCATCGTCATCGGGCTGGTGTTCAAGACCATGTCGCACGTCTCGAGCGTCAAAGAACAGCTGGAATCTATTGCAACCTGCGCGTACTGGACTCTCAACGATCTGCTTGAGCAGGCCAGAACCCGTATCGAAGCGCGAAGGCAGCGACCCCCAGCGCACAACGCACGAGGAGATGCTGCGCGAGGTTCGCAGGCTGCTCGACCGTAGCAGCCACGGGGTGGAGATTGAGCGCAGCTGCTCGCCGAAACGCGGTCACGGCCTCACCTTTGCCAGACCCATCAGAGCGGGCACTTCTAGAAGGCTTCGGGTGGAGCAGCCCCCCGCAGCCCATCGCCGACCTTGCGCTTTGGAGTGACCACGCAGGTGCCCAGAACCACTTAGCGGCTGATCCACCACACGAGCAGGGACGTGAGCGCGTGGTGTGGCACGTCGCAGGGGAGCGTCTGCGAGCCTCCCCTCGATGATGTTGGCGCAGTCGCCCAGGTCAGCAGCCTTCCCAGGCGCCGATGCCGCCATCCGGCCCGCTGCCGGGCCAGCGGCGGCCCGGGGCCCAGGGCGGCCCGGTGCGCGGCAGGGTCCGCCCAGCCCGGGAGCCACGGGTGCCGGGTCCGGAGCGGCCGGCGTCGCAGTGGCCCGGCGCGGCGCCGCTTGCGCTGGCAGCGCCCGAGGTGTCCATGGTGCGCCTCGGTGTTGCCCGAGGCTGAGCGCCGAGGCGTTCAGAAGAGGCGCGCGGTCTCCCCCATCCCTCGGCCATCCCTCCCTTCCGCCTCCTGTTCCGCCTCCCGCTACGCCTCCCGACAAAAAAGCAGGAAGTTGGTTCCACAGCGAGTTTGAAAATTTGCACAGGTCGAGAAGTTGGAGGCAGGGTTGCGATAAGATCGACCCGCTGAGCAAATCGAATCGGGTTTTGCCGCTGATGCAAGCAATGTCGTCTGTGATGTAATGGTGCTGCGAAGACTGAATGGTGTGTGGCAGGTCGCACGGCCCCGATTGGCATTTGTTTCGAAGTCGAGCACCGTGTTGAAACGCACATGACAATTGGATATGTTGCCATCTACTCTCCATGAAGTGATACTGCCTTGTTTCTCGCTGTCTCGCCTTCTCGCCTTCCGTCCCGGTCTCCCATTCCCATCCTGACGCAGTCGAGCTGCAGATCTATCGTTTTTTGGGGTCCGAATGAGCTTCACCTGTCGAGTCTACGGTCTCTACGAGCGTGCCCGTCAGAGCTGGCTCGACTCGGCGTCTCGCTCGCCCGCTCCGCCTCCCCTCCCTCCTCATCGCCGCCATTGCCATGCCTCCACCCACTGCACTCGGCCCTCCTGTGTACGTGGCACCCTGCGATTTGTTCCCAAACCTCCTGTGTGGGGTTCTCTTTTTGAATGGAGCACTGTGGTCTCCAGTCCTCCTTCCTCCGTCCTCCTCCTCCTCCTCCTCCTCATCTTTCTCCTCCTCTTCCTCCCCCCTCGTCCAGCCTCCTGCATCCTTCCTTCCCTTCCTCGGACCTTTCCTACTGGGGGACTGCGAACTGCGCAACAGTCGCCACTTTCCTGAGGTGAGAGCAGCGCAGATCCATTTGAGACCTCGCGGCTCCCTATGGGGATGCGACCTGTGCAACCGTCACCATTTTCGTGGGCTCCTGGGAGGCACGGCAGTGGTGAGGGTAGCGCAGATCCGTTCGAGACCTCGCGGCTCCCTGGGGGGCTGCGAACTGTGCAACCATCGCCACTTTCGTGGGCTCCTGGGGGGCACGGCGGAGGTGAGGGCAGCGCAGATCCATTTGAGACCTCGCGGCTCTCGGTGGCTGCGACCTGCGCAACTGTCGCCACTTTAGTGAGCTCCTGGGAGGCACGGCGGAGGTGCAGTGCAGCGGGGATCCTTTTGAGACCTCGCGGCTCCTTGGGGGGCTGCGAGCTGTGCAACAGTGTCCTGGAAGGCACGGCGGAGGTGAGCCTCGCGTGGAGAAGGGATTGGATACGTTTTGTGCATTTGTATTCCCATCGTGGAGCTGTTTTGTTGTGGGGCATCTGGAGGCCCGCAAGGGCTGTTCACGAAAAGAAGGCATGTGTCCCAAGAAGCCACCCGGTCGGAATTCGAACTCTCCAAGACGGTTCCAAACTGCTCCAAGAAGGCAAAGAGAGGCCTGGGATGCAGGAGGCCCCCACGACGTCCCGAGACGCTCCTGAGAGGCTTTCCGAGGCCCCCGTAAAGGATCTCTAGGGCCCAGGCAAGCCCTGAGATGTGTGGAAACCCAGAGGGTCACAAGATATCTCCAAGAGGGTTCCAAGAGGCGCTCGAAAGGGGCCAGAAAACACCCCGCAGAGCTTCATCAGAGCTACTAGGCGGGTCCGGACGTGGACAGCCCAGTTAAATATGAGGCGTCTCACCTCATCTTCCCTCCCCTCCTCTCAGTTCTCTATCCTCCCACCTACCACAGGACAGCCACGGGACACCCTCAGGACAATAATGGAGCAACCACATAACAGCCACGGGACAACGAAGGGACAACTGCTGGACAACCGCGAGACGGCTACAGGACAACCACGGGACAACCACGGGACAACCACGCGAAAATGACGGGACAACCACGGGACAACCACAAGATAACCACGAGACAACCACGGGACAATCACGGGACAACCGCGGGAAAATTTCCGTTCGCCCTGGCGGGCGGGGAACCGATTCCTTTTGGCGTGACTTGGGCCTGGCTAGTCCAGGAACTCATGCAGCTTCGCCTCGCTCGCATGCGCGGGACGCACGACACGAACCGAAACCAGAGTCGATTGTTGGCTGGGGGACTCCGCTTGATCTCGGTCGAACCTTCCTGAACTTCCGATTTGCTTGTCTCATTCTTTGTCTTTCGGTCTTACGATCTATTATCTATGTTAGCCAGGGTGGACCCCAAACAGTGTGTTTCTGGCAATCTATGTTGTGCAGTCTTTGGGGTGCAATATAGCTGGCGCAACACCACGCGACAATCACAGGAGCACTACGGGATAGCCGTGGGACAACCACGGGAAAGCCATGGGACAACCCTGGGGCATAGGGATCAACCGCTGAACGTCCTCGCGACAATCGCAGGATAACCACAGAACAATCACGGAGCAATCGCGGGACAACCATGGGGCAACCACGGGATAACCACAACTACAGGACAACCGCGGGACGACCGAGGATCAACCACATGGTAACCACGAAACAGCGACGGGACACCCACGGGACGTCCGCGGGACAACCATGGGACAATTTCAGGACAACCGCGGGAGAACCATAGGGCAACGACGGAACAACCATGGGACAACCACGGGACAACCCGTCCAGGCGGACAGGATCCCGATTTATTTGTGGCGCGACATGGGCCTACCCAGTGCAGGAACTCGCGCAGCTTCTCCTCGCTCGCGCGCGCGTCACGCACGACACGAACCGAAACCGAAATTGTGTTCCCGTTTGGTGGGCCCTGTTTCATTTCCGTCTCACCTCCCAGCCTGCGATAATTCCAGCACCCTTCCCCTCCCCACTCAACTTCCACGTCGAGCACAAGGGCACGTTCCCCGTTGGTTTGCCGCGGTGGCTCAAGAAGAGTGGGCGCTCCCTTCCCAGCCGGCGGAGCCAGCCGGGGCAACATCCTGCAACTGACATTTTGGCCAACATGCCAGGCCTCCTTGGGGCCATCCGTACACGTGTCCGGGGGAGGCGACGGGGGCGTCATGGAAGGGGGTGCCATGGAAGGGGGCAGTTTTGCCGCGGGCGAAGTAGGCGGTGCCGAAAGTGAGGTCCGAGACATCGACCGTGCAGACCCCGCTGTTCGCCTGAGGCTTCAGTACGCGAAGCCGAGTCGTACTGGCCCAACAGTGCCCCTCCTCATCCTTCTCCTCCCACGCTCCGAGGAGAACGCGACGCCGATACCGCTGCCCTTCCCTCGTTTTCGCCTCCAAGGGCCCCTCGTCGCCACGGCTGGACTTGCTTCGGAGTCATGGAAAGAACGCGCCGGGGGGGGGAGGGCAGCGGGGGAGAAGCGGTATCGGTATTTGTCTTCCCACGATCCTCTTTTTCCCGGTCTTGTTTCGTAGTCTTTCTAGTGCAAGAGCTCGGCCCTGGTAATCTCGCGCACTAAAGCTTCTCCCCCTTGCCATCACGCGCGTTATTCCAGCTCAAGTGTGAGCTGCAAGCGTGCTGAATCAGCCCCGCGCAGATCAGCGTCCTGTTTAAGCATCCAGGCTGGGACTATATTGAGGCGACGCTCGTCGATGATTTTAGTCATGTCCATCAGATGGCGACGAATTGTGTAAAGTGCAACTGCCCTGCACGGACACAGTCAGACAGGTGAAGCTTCGAATTCTTGTCGCTCCGCATGTCCCTACGAGCCCATCCAGAACCGATGGTCTGCGGTTTGACGAGAGACGGGCAGTAGAGCAGCGCATCGTGACCTTTGTAGGCCAACATTGGTAGACTGAGAGGTCTCTGAGAGTCTTTTGGAGGCTTCTCGGAGCCATCTTGGAGTCTTTCCGGCGGCCAGGCGAGTTGTCGGGAGATGGGGGGGTACATAGAGTGTGTGTGGGTGAAGCAAAAATATCAAGAATGGTGAACTTGGGCACCCGTTGGAGCTTCTCGGAGGTTCCTCGGGGCTACGTTTGAATTGCTTGTGGGGCCCTGGTGGGAGCCTCTGAGGTCCTCTTGGGTTCTCTCGGGAGCCTCCTGGGGCCATCCTGAAGGCCATCGAGCACAAAAGGAGCGGCTTCCCCCCCCCTCCCACAGAGCCCGACAACTCGTATCTTCGGAGCCTCCCAGAGCGCTCTCGGGACGCACGCGGAGCCTGTGGGGCAGTCTTCGAGCCCTTCGGGGCTAGGAGGTAAACATTGGAAGCCACCTAAGCAATCGTCTGCGCTCTTGGAGGTCATCTTGGGCTACGTGGGGCCATCCTGGAGCCATGTGGTGCCATTTTTGACGCTCTAGGTTGTCGTGGCGGGGCCCGTGCAGACCAAGGGGAGAGGGTAGGGTGTTCGGGAGTGACCCCCTACCATGAGGGAGAGTATGGGGGTGAAGCGAGATCTCCTAAACCACCCGTGCCTCAGGCGATCACAAACATGGATCAAGGGGGCGTGGATTAGCGACGGGTCCCGTTTCCATGAGAAATCGCGGATTTCCGCCGCCGAGCGGGGCGGCACCGGTCGCATTTTGGGGAGGGCACCTCCTCCGATCCGTAGATGTGGCGACCGCCCGCCAAATCCATGGATCGCTAATCCATGTTTGCGCGCTCCCGAGTGCCGAGAGGGCTGGTGGGATTTGGGCATTGCGTGGCAACCACCTTTCGACGCAGACCCTTTGTGTAAACCGAGAAGACGTTCGACAATGATGTGCAGGTCCGTTTGTTGGGCAGGTCGCTCGATTTGCGACTCATCCTAGGCCAATTTGACTTAACAAGAGGGTATTATTGGTGTGGTCTGCCTTTGGAGGCGACGTGAGACGTGTTGCGTAAATTTCAGCTGATGCGGCCCGTCCAGATCATGCGCTGACTGATTGAAGCTGCCCTGTGCGGCCACTCTGAGGTGGTACAGTACCTGTGCGCGGCAGATGCGGACACGGACTAGGCGAAGCAAAATGGAGCGACGCCCTTGTTCTTCGCTGCCCAGCATGGCCATCACGAGGTGGTGAAGCACCTGTACGCGGCAGGAGCGGACAAGGACAAGGCGAAGCAGAATGGAGCGACGCCCCTGTTCCTTGCCGCCCAGCATGGCCATTACGAGTTGGTGAAGCACCTGTGCGCGGCAGGAGCGGACAAGGACAAGGCGATGTAAAATGAAGCGACGCCCTTGTTCATCGCCGCCCAGAAGGGCCACTCGGCGGTGGTGACGCACCTTTGCGCGGCAGGAGCGGGCAAGGACCAGGCTTTGCCAAATGGACCGACGCCCTTGTTCATCGCTGTCGAGACGGGTCACCCCGAGGTGGTGACCCACCTTTGCGCAGCAGGAGCGGACAAGGACAAGGCGAAGACAAGCCACTCCAATGTGGTGCAGCACATGTGCTCGGCAGATGCGGATAAGGACAACGAAGCAACGCCATTGCACATCACAGCCGAGAGGGGCCTCTCCGAGCTGGTGATGCACCTTTGCGCGGCGGGAGCAGGTAAGAACAAGGCGAAGACAAGTGGAGCGACGCCCGTGTTCACCGCCGCCCAACAGGATCACTCCGAGGAGATGCAGCACCGCTGTGCGGCAGGTGCGGACAAGGACCAGGCATGGCAAAATGGAGCGACGCCCATCTTCATCACCGCCCAACATGGTGACTCCGGGGTGGTGCCGCGCCTCGTGTGGGACAGGGTCTGATGACCTTTGGCGCGACCTTTTGGAAGCTGTTCCCACGCGCCCACAGTTAAGGCAAAACCTGAGAGGCGGGATTGTTTCCAGTCGCCAGAGGTCCGGCCCTCCCTCCTCCCTCCGCCCGTCTCCCGCCTCCCTTCTCCTCCCTCCTCCCTCCTCCTCCTTCCGCCCTTCTCCCTCTTCCCTTACTTTTTCCTTCGATCTTGTGGGCATCAGGAAGCTCGGAGGAGACTCCCTCCTCCCTTCCTTCTTCCCTACTTACCCCCTCTCGCAGAACACGATGCGGTCTTTTTGAGGAGTTCCAGGTCGGCCATGGCCCGCGTCCGCGGATTGAGAAATAACCAGCGCAGTGGGCAGGGATCGGCGGGATAGGATGTCGGCTATGGCGCGAGCGCACCTGGCTTGCTCCTCACCTCCTCCTCGGCCCCGCGCCCGTCCCGACCCGCTCCTCCCCCCCCTCCTCGGGAGGGAGGGCGGGGCGGCAGAGCTCGCGCAGGCCCAGCTGCTCACATGCGGCAGCCTCGCCGAGGCGCGCGCGCCTCCGCGCCTCCGCGCCTCCGCGCGCCCGCGCCAGCTCGGCGGCGGCGGCCGTCTCCCGCAGCCGCTCGGCCCCCTCGGCGGGTTTTTATTGTTGCCGATTGTGCGGTGGTTCCCTCAACGGTTCGAAGCCCTTCAGGTCCGCCAGTAAGCTGCGCTCTCGGTGTCCCCGGTTGTCCAATAACTCATCGACCCGACGCAGCCAGCCCACGGCGATGGATAGAAGCAGCCGTGGGCTGGAGCCCCGCCAACGAGGCACTGGATCGGAGCGTACTGTCCTAAACCCGTCCTGGGTGGTGAAGGGTGTGGTTTTCCTGAGACGCCCCACCATCTCCCAGGCCTTCGCCTTTTCCGCCGCCCCTACGGCTCTTAGGTCTCACGCGCGGTGGGCGCTCGTGTACTCGGACGCCTTTCTGCTCGCTTGCTCGCTCTCAGGGGCCCGGCCAAGCACACTTCGGGCCCATCGAAGGGCCTCAGACGATGCGGTGACCGCTGCGAGACCATCGCGGCTCGCGGCGATCTGGAAGCATTCGCGCGTCGCGACTCGCGCGTCGCGGCCCCGGCCCGAGAGCTGCCCGTCCCCGAGGTGGCCTTGCGCAAGGCGAGAATTCAAACGGGCGCCGCGCGACGGCGTCACTGGGCGCGTCGATCGAGATTTGGTGACGTGGGAGTGGAGAACAATCGGGGCATTTGCGTCGCGGGCAGCACTCGGCGGGAGCTAACGACGTCATGATAGTCGATGCGTTCACATATCCAAATATGTCCTGTTTTGCTTCTCGCGCACCCCAGAGACGAGGGGCCGCTAGGTACTCGGGAACTCCTGGGACGCATCCTGCGCTAATCACATCATGACATCGTTCTCGTCGTGAACATCGCGGCGGCCAGCTTTCCCCAAATTTGGGCCTTTGGGAGACCCGTCTCGGGATCCAAGGCCACGGACATGTCGACCCAGGACGGGGCAGCCTTTCACGAGGGTTGGAATCGAGAGATGTGGGGGCGCCCGTGCCACGAAGAAGTCGTGACGTCTTCCTGGAGAAGACGTGGGGTGGGGGAGATTAAGACGTTGTTTGCCCTTTGGGAGCCTCCTCGGGGCCTCCTCACCGTCACGGCTGGAGTCGCGTCTGTGTCTTGGTCGGGACGCGCTCCGCAGGGACAGGCCTGGGGGTGTGCTGTCGGGGGACTCACGCCCCGCCGTGAAGGAGAGGGGCCCTGAGGGAGGCGGGTCCCAGACCTCGTGGCTTGCCCCGGGACCAGCTCTTCGTCCTGAATTGTTTCTCGACGGTCGCGGGGCCCGTGGAGGGCCCAAGGGCCCCAGAATGGAGAATAGCTCGTAGCACCTCTCTCCTCCACGACCCGTGCTCTTCGTGCCGAACTCCCCGCGTCCCTCCACGAGGTTCTCGCAGCTCTTCTGGCGGCTTGCCGGAGGTCGGGGCCCTTGCCGGCTCCGGCCTGACGGGAGCTTCCGAACGGCGTCTCTGGCGCCCCGGGCCTGCTGGAGGCCGCGCTGGGCGCCGTGAACAAAAAGAACGGCGGGCGTCTTCGCCCCGTTTCGGGGCCCCCGTGGTCCTTCACGGATCGACCCAGCTCGAGATGTGCAGTATTTTGACATCGCTCGGACGTGTGCGTTTTTTGCCCGGCGAAGACCATCGCGGAGCATGCTAGACCATCTGGTAAAAACACACACACACACGCACGAAAACCAGCACATGCACGGGGAATGGACGTCCGAGCGATTCGATAGCGAGGCATCAAGACGGGGTCAGTGAGGTTTCACGGCGACGCGATCTATTTTGCGTCGTCGGGTGTCGCGGGCCCCCAGCACCTCTCCTGTCCCTCCCCCTTACCCTCTGCTCTTCCCCTTTCTGGTCTTGTGACCATGCTACCTCCTGCCTCCTCTGCGCCTTGCTCTGTGCCCTACGCATCCTCCTTGCCTTGCTCGTGCCTCACTCTTACTTGCCATAGCATCTCCTGGGCCCATTCCCCTCCTGCTCCTCTTTCTCCTTCCCCTCGGCCCACCACTGCCACAGATCATCATTGGCCAATCGCGTCTCCTGGAGGGCGAGCGAGCGCGAGGACGGGACGGTGTTCAGGCCGAGTGGAGCACTGGGGGGCGAGGATAGGGAGGGCGGCAGGCGTGTGGACGAGGGATACTGGGCTGGTGGCCCTGGGGAGGGACAGGGAGCCCCGGGAGGGGGGGTGACGGGGGCGCGTCGACCGACCGCTCACCTTGCGTCGACTATTCGCCTCATCGCAAGGTTGCCAGGAGCGCGCGTCGACCGCTCACCCCACGTCCGTGTGTCGCGGTTTCGCCACGGCTTTGCATTGGAGCCAGAAGCCATCACCGTAAATCAATGGCTCCCTTCTCCCTTGCGTCCCTTGCTTCCTCCTTCTCTCCCCTCGCCGTACCCTCGTCCCCTCCATTTCCTCTTCCGCTCGCCTTCCCTCTCCCCCTCCATACCCCTCTATACCTTCCCCTTCCCTGCCCGCCCATCCTGCCTCTCCCCCTTGTGGTCTCTTGTGTCCCTCTTGGACATGTTGTGGGCGATGTTGGAGCCATCTCGATACCCCAAGAAACTATCGGCCGCGCAACGAACCAAAAATCAATACTGTGTCGCACCACGTTCTAAATGATCTGGCCTCTCGGAGGCATCTTCGGGCGGTTTTGTGGCCACCGCGAGCCGTCTTGTGGAGGTGCCAGACATCTTGGAAACATGTTGGAGGCCATGCTCGTCTAATTTGGACTTTAGTTTGCTCTCTTGGAGGCCATCCTGAGTTATCTGGGACGGTCTTGGAGCCATCCTGAACGTTCTAACGTCTCACGGTCCCCCCCTGTCCAGACTCATCGGATGGACTTCCCCTTACCAGGCTGGCGGGCCCCTCTTGTCAGCGCCTGGCCAGGACATTGACGTAGGATGGTCTCCAAGATGGCCCACACCGCACCCAAGGCGGCCCCAGACGGCCAGGCAGGGCAAGACATGGCCATACACTGCAAGACAGCGAGCGCTCAAGTCAGCCCAGTATGGCCCCAAGGCGCCACAAGGGCCCCGACAGGCCAACATCTTTCAAACACTTACTTAAGGAACATCAGCGGTGTTTGCCTTCTCGCTGTTTTGCTTCACACGGCCTTGGAGGCATCCCAAAGAGGGACCGATGAGGGCCCTTAGGCGCTCCAGATTTCGAAAAGGCCAACCAGAGGACACGTCGTTTGCATCAAGAACGGTCCCAGGAGGCCCCGAGGGACCCCAAGTTGCCTCTCAGAGGCTCCCAGAGGCTTCCTAAAGGTCCCCGAGAGACTTGAAGTTGCCCCCAATGGGCACCCGATAGGCCCCGAAAGAGGCTCCCAGTAAGCACCCGAGAGGGCGCCAAGAGGCCCCCGAACAGCCAGATGCCCCCAGGGGGCTAGCTCGCCGAGGTGAGAGTGTGCGTGCGTGCATCTCCTGAGTTGGCTCTCGTGAGTAAGCCCTGCTGCAGTACATGGCCGTTGTGTTATTTGCCTTTGTGGCTGTGTGATGCGTACGCCTATGTGCATTGATCGCCTGGTTTGCGTCCAGGACCGCACCTATAGCACGTCACCGTCGGCCGCCATGCTGAGAGCGACGGGCTAATGGCTAATGACATGTCCGAGTTCATGAATTGGCCTTCTGAGCTCGGCCGTGCAAGCATCTGTTCACCCCTCCCAGTTCGAAGTTCTTCAGGAAGCTGTCGAAGCGCTTAGGCCGACGTGCTCGCCAAGCCGATTCGGCGGACTGATCAGAAGAAACTTCTGCGGACCTTCGAGCACTTGTACCAGAAGATCGGGGATGGTTTGCGGGCTGTGTCTATGGACGCGCGGCCCACCGTGGGCACGAGCGCTTTTCGGAGATCCAGACTGCCACGAGCGCCAACATGTCATACGCCCCTGCCGGAAACAATGAGTATTACCCAGAGCTTCCTTTTTCCACATATGGTCAGCTAGCTTGGTGAAAACGCCATGCAACTTGTGCTGTGCAATTCATTCTGGTCCCGACCGTCCTCGCCCCTGTTCATGGCCGAATTCCTTCCCCACCTGTGTCATCCACAGGCTGTCCGAAGGAGAGGGGGAAGTGCTCCAGCGCGGGGTCGCGGGAGTGTCAGGCCGCTCACCGCGGGTGAATTCAGTGGTCGGAAGAGATGGCCACTTAAACCATGTGCGCCCAGAGGGCCGCTGTGACTGTGACAGAGCATCATACGAGACGCCGCGTCCGCCCCATCAAGCGTCAGGCGGCGCAGCGAAGAGGAGTTCCCCACAAGAAAAATACTTGGAACAGGAGGAGGAGGACGACGACGACGAGGGCGAGGAGAATGGGATAATGTGAGGAGGAATACCCTCCCTCTCTTCAGTTGGCGGGCGCCGCCTCCCTGGTGCTCAAGGGCGCCGGCGCGGAGCTGAGGAACAAGGCCGCCCGCGCCCTCCCTCCCCGTGGCGGGGGAAGGGAGTGGGGGAGCGAGCGATTGCAGGGGACAGTGTGCGACTGATGGGGGCGAGCGAGGGGCTCACACGAAAGCTGATCTTCTCTCTTCCGGCGAGGTTCTGGG